TTCACCTAATTGTATGCTAAGATTGACATTTCTGCTGAACGTGTACTTTATCTGCTGTCTGGGCCAGTTGTCCCAAATATCTTCACACTAGCACATGCTACTAAATTTCACTCAGGGTGGCATACCTCGCTTGTACTACTCTTACAGTAAACCTCACAGTATTTACCTACTACCTGTGCATACTCTGCAATAGCAATGCTTAAATCTCTAGTGCTAAATGTATGCTATTATGCTCTGTCTAATCTCGTATCCTACCTTTCCTTTTAAGCAGAATAGAAAAAATTCCTTGACAAGCAACATTAATATATAAAAAATGTGCAGTAACCGCTAATGCTCACTCATGTAATACCATGTTAACAAAAATGATTACCCTAGCTGTTGTGGCATTGTAAGCCTGATGTGATTGTTATATGCACAAATAAAATAAAGAATTTAAAAAAAAAAAAACTATGTAAAGAACAAAGTATTTCAGAAGAATATTTAATTCATTCAGATCTAGGATGTGTTATTTTTGTGTTCCCTTTATTTTTTTGAGCAGTATATATTTAGCATGTTCAAAATTTGCTTTCTTATGAACTTTATTTTTTTTTGTTATGTAGTTTAACATTTATATTACAAAATTGTCTTTGGCACAAATAAGTAACGTGCACTGTGCAAATCCACAATTATGTGCAAAGAGAGATGTGAAAAAGTATAAATATTACCTTCAAAAAGCTTTAAAATTCTGGTCTGGGCACTATCAGAATTTATTTACATGTGGTGGATCATACAACAAGAGAAACACAAAGTAAATACAATATCATAGTGTAGTATGTAATATAACAAAAGTTTAAAATCACCAAATGTACACTCATAAGGATATACACACAAAAGGAATTGTGCTATATACGCATTGTCCACCAGGGGGCCTCTTTTCTGGCATAAATACGCTGTCCCCAGGATCTTATGCGGCAATAGCAATCAGCTGGAAAGGCAGTCTGTTCGGTATTTTGTATTCACCAGAGTCCTTGTAGTGCGTTTGTCTATTTGGATTTGCTCGATGCGTTTCATCAACTTTCAGGACTTCGCTCTTGATAAAGTTTCACATTTATACTTTTTATGTTTTAAAACCTGTAAGTTAAGAAATATTATATTGTTTTACTATACATACTTACTGGAACTTGTTTTTCAAATACATTGATACCCGGATGTAGAGTTTAGTGGGGACATGAGGACAGAAACTTAAAACTGAATATTCAAAGTCCTATTTTGAAGATGAATATAGGTGTGATCATTGTGCGTTGCTGAACTAATTAATCAATAAGGTGCATGTGTGACTAACATCCTATGTTGTCTTTTTTGATTTGTTCTTTAGTACATGGCTGTCCAAAACACGACATGCTGTGGGATTTTATGCAACCCACCTGTGGGTTTTGATTTTGACGGTGCGGCTGCCCCGGGTGCAAAAATTCAGGGGGGGCACCAACAAAGTGGCACAGCTACCTGCCACAAGCTGAAGGGGCCCATTGGGTGGCCATCTTTGGTCAGGTGCTGGGAGGAAGTGAATATGTCACTTCCTCACAGCTTACGAACAATCCGCGTAGGAGAGTGACAGGGGGGAGGACCAGAGAGGAAAAAGAGCCTGGACCTGACCCCCATCAGGCCTGTTCTAATGCCACTGGTCCCTAAGGAAACCACCCGCTCTACACCAAAAAGGTATGGAAGCAGGTGGTTGCTAAAAATCTGTAAATTGTGATTTTTGTGTGTATATGTCTGTGTGTAGGTGTTGTGTGTGTCTGTGTAATGTATATATATTTTATGTGTGTATGGTTTTTCATCTCCAATTACCTCAATATCCACATGTCTCCCCACCCATAATGGTGTGTTTTTCTTTTTTCTTACCCCAGGCTTTATATTTCAGACTGGGCCCCTAAAAACAGCATTAATTAACACCCAGCATTCACAAGCAACCAAGCTCTGCAGAATCTTCTAAGCAGAGGTATCATCTCTGGAAGGCTGCCCACCCCACACCATGGTCATTACCATACTTATAGATCATGCAGATCAGCTGGTTTTCCAAACACACCCATCAAGTCACTAAACCTCTCCTCCCCATGAAATCCCTCTGTTAACAAACTGCATCCTTAACCGCGGTTTAAACACTCATAGGTATATGCGCATATGTATAATTTTACTATCTATATAACAAAACACATTTTCTCTAAATAATGTTCTCCCTTCTATTTTTCACTTTCACACTAACTTCTCTCATTACTAAAATATCCCTATCCTTCTGCTCACCTGTCCCTGGCAACACCATCTTCATTGCCTCCAATTTACTCCCCTCCCCTTTCTATTCATCCCATGCACTCTACATATACCTTTCTAGCCTATCTGCTCCAACTTCTCCCAAATCGTCTATATACATACCCTCCTACAAAACTTTCAAATCCTACTCCCACCTTCACTTCCTTTCTATCCTTCTGCTCCTAGCAGCTGGTAATGTCTCTCCAAACCCCGGTCCCATCTCGGCAAACAAGTACTAACTCAAGAAACCACACCAATCTCATACCAGTCTCATGTTACTCTTCCTCCTTCAATACTGCCCTCTGGAATGCATGCTCTGTTTGCAATATTACAAAATCCATTGCTGTCCACGACCTCTTCATCTCTTGTTCGGTAGATTTACTAGCCTTAACAGAAACGTGGCTCTCCCCCTTTGACACTGCTACTGTTTCTCCTCTCACCTCACTGCTCCTTCAAACCTCTACCCACCCATCCTTCCCTCTCTTTCCCATCATTTGAAATTCATTCAATTTGCCTATTCAAAACATTCTCTGCTAACATTGCTGTTATTTATCGTTCCCCTCTCCTCTTCCTTGACCACATTGCTGCCTGGCTACCTTATTTCCTCTCTAATAATATTCCATCCCTAATTCTCGAGGACTTAAACATTCCCATTAACCCACCTTTGACCTCAGCAGTCTCCAAACTACTATCAATTACTGCCTCCCTCGGGCTATCAGAGTGGGCTAATTCTCCCACCCATGTAGCTGGTAATACCTTTGACCTAATCTTCTCAACACTCCATTTCCTTTCTCTGATCCCCACCTCTTATCATTTGCTCTCAAGAACCCCCCCCCTCAAAAACCTCAGCCCAACCCCCCTCAACTCAGGAAAACCTTAATTCTATTGACCTCCAACAGCTGTCAGCTGATATTGATTCACAACTGCTATCCATCCCTTCCCTCTCCTGTCCCTCACTGGCCATCTCCACATATAACACTACCCTCACCTCTGCCTTGAACAGTGCAGTCCTGCTCCAAACAAGCACCTCAAGGAGGATACACACTCAACCGTGGCATACTAAATCAACACGCTACCTGCAAAGATGCTCCCGTTGTGCTAAACGCTCCTGGAGGAAGTCTAGCACCCAGTCAGACTTTCTCCATTATAGATTCATATTGTGTTCATACAGCGCAGCCCTTGCCAAACCATCATACTTTTGCTTTCTCATTAGTTCATGCTCCCACAATCCCTTTAATTCTCTTCTTCGCCCTGCTGTGGCCACCCCCCAAACTAACCTTACTGCCGATAGCTTTGCATGTTACTTTACCAACAAGATTGAACAGCTAAGGAAAGAATTCTCCCTTCCTTGCCGTTCTCTTTCTCAACCACACGTAGATCATGCCTTTCCTACATTTCAGACTTTCTCCCCGGCTACTGAACAAGAGGTGGCTGCGCTTCTCGCCCCACCACTTGCCCGTTCGATCCTGTCCCGTCTCACCTTATCAGATCTCTCTCCCCTCGTCTTGTGCCTTCCTTAACACACATCCTCAACTGCTCTCTCTCCTCTGGCATTGTCCCTGCTGACCTTAAACATGCCACTGTAGTACCTATCCTGAAAAAAAAAAAAAAAAAATATCTTGACCCGTCCTCCCCCTCTATCGTCCCATATCCCTGCTCCCTTTTTCCTCAAAGCGTCTGGAAAGACTTGGCTTTACCCATGTGTCTCACTTCTTCAATTCCAACTCTCTCCTTGACCCTCTTCAATCTGGCTTCCGCCCTCTCCACTCTACTGAAATTGCGCTTATCGAAGTTACTAACGACCTAATCGCAGCTAAATCCAAAGGCCACTACTCCGTACGAATTCTTCTTGACCGCTATGCTGCCTTTGACACCATTGATCATGCTCTCCTTCTTCAAACTCTTCAATCACTCGGTCTCTGTGACTCTGTCCTCACGTGGTTTTCCTCTTATCTCTACCAACACTCATTTAGTGTCTCCTTTTCTAATAATACCTCCTCTCCTCGTCCTTTCTCAGTTGGAGTCCCCCAATGCTCTGTCCTTGGTCCCCTTCCATTTTCTCTTAATACTGCCTCTCTTGGCAAACTTCTTACCTCTTTTGGATTGCACTACCACCTGTACTCTGATGACACCCAGATATCTCTCCTCCCCAGACCTCTCCCCTGCCGTCCTGCAAAGTGTCACTGCTTTCCTTTCTTCTATCTATGACTGGATGTCCTCCCGCTTTCTGAAACTCAATCTCTCAAAAACTGAGCTACTGGTCTTTCCTCCTCCTAATACGGATCCCCCTCTTACGCTCTCCCTTCAAGTTAGTGGTATCCACATAAGTTTCTTCCTTTCAAGCACGCTGTCATGGCGTCATACTTGATTCTGGCCTCAGCTTTGAGCTTCACATCCAGTATGTTGCCAAATCCTGTAGATTAGTTATAGGTTATGTCTTCCCTATCGGAAAGTATTGGATTGGCTGAGATTATTGATCGATGATCTGAGTCAAAGATGTGGAGCTTCACAGAGGAGACTAGCTATGCAAGGGCTGGAAGTAAACTAAATTTTTTTAAACATGCAAGCGCTGGCCCGGTTACAAAACAGTAACTAGGACACAATAGCATTAGAAATACATATTTGTATTCCTAACAGTGCAACGATCATTTAAGATTCACGTTTGGCTTCACATACCACATGAACTGGATATAGGAATCCACACAACCCAAACCTTTTTATTTTAAGTATTTCTCATCTTTATTTCATGTGTGTGCACGCACATAAATTAGAGGAGTTACAGCAAGTCTTCTACGGTTATGATTTGACAAATAGTGCAAATAAATACATTCTTTGGGTCACACGTTCAGAACCTCAGCTTTAACATAAATCTTCTGTGTAGCAAAATATAATATACTACTACAAGTGTACACTTTATTTTATAAGTCCAAAATATTTCTTACAGTACTAAGTACAAAGCATCAAAACTGAAATTTGACTCACCTTCTAGAAAAACAAAATTTAAAAACATTATCCGTATACAGTGTGTATATACAGTAAAATATATATTACACAAACTGTATATACCCACTCCATCTACTAAAAAATGTATTATGGCAAGTAACCGTTACATTCTAAAACGTTCCATCGTTTGGATCTCCGTGTTTAGCACTCTATGATACAGCAGTCTTTATTTCCAAGAATATTAAAGCGGAATTTAAAGAACATCAGTTTGTAATTGTACATAAAGTCAGTATTAAGGATAGTTATGTTTCCTGGGAGGTGTAATTTTTTTTATTTTTTTTAGTTGTCTCTTTATTGCTATCTTCTGTTTCCAGCGTTATTGATGCGTTTACTTGTGGTTAATGGAACCAGATTGCCACTGGGACTGCCACTAGTACTGTTGGTAGAGGAGCCATTTACTACAAAGCAATCTATTTTGTTCTCTAGTTTTCCCAAGCGTTGCAGGATGTCATCCAAAAGTACTGCAATTGTTCTCTTCAAGTCAGCTGTATAAAAAGTGGAATGAATAAAAAATATATATAAATGAAGAGTAATATACACATGCTGCACAGCTAATGCAAATATATTACTGTTTAGATAAACAATAAAATGTCCTTTTCAAACTTTGTAATAGGAAGCATAGAAACAGTAGGTAAACAACACATTTGACCCAGTTTTTCAAATATATACAAAAGGTCTACTCCTATGTAATCATTTGTTCTTATATTTTCTTTGGGATAACTTTACACATAACATAGGCTTTTTTAAAATGTTTTTATAATTAATATTGCTGCAATTTTACCATAATTACAAGTATTTTATAGTGCCAACATATTCGGCAGTGCAGTACAATAGGTAAACAAGACAAACATAGAATTCTAATAAGACGTGTATGACATACAGTATGTGACGATGGCTCTGCCCAAACGAGATCACAATCGAAAAGGTTTATGCACGAAAACAACTACATTAATATGTAACAGTTTTTGGTGCTTAGAATTAAAGGGACACTATAGTCACCAGAACCATTACAGCTTAATGTAGTGGAGCTGGTGTCTATAGCCTGTCCCTGCATGCTCAGCAATGTAAACACTGCCGTTTCAGGGAATAGGCAGTGTTTACATTACTGCGTAGGAACACATAGGTGGCAGTCCTTCCTATCTCACTGCTGCACAGTATGCAGCACTGGATTTCCTATAGAGCTGCATTAATTCAGTTTGGCGCAACGCTGCATTTTTCCGCATATGTGCGATAGCCTCCCAAAGCTTTCCTATAAGAGTGTGCGCGCATGTGTGAAGAGTGCATAGGGTCTATGCTGCGTGTAGGTGGGCGAGATGTGAAAATCTATCTTAATGTCTCCCCCTCCCTTACCTTTTACCAGGGAGGAGGACATAATGCTGCAAGCTTTGGTGGTCCACTGCTGGCATGTTCACTTTAGCCTGCAGCTCCTCTGGCTGCAGGCTGACTCTCCTTTCCTTCTGCGAGCACAGCACTGTATCGGAGCATTGCCATGGTAACGCGTGGCAACGTTCCTAACAGCCTGCTTGCGGGAGGAACACAGAGCCTCCCAGACCCTTCCCTCCGCTGGAACAGTGTCAGTGGACCGGTGAGGGAGATCTTTTATATCCTCAACAGCCCGAGAGGGCTTACAGCAAGGCTGGCAGGGGAGATGATAGGATCTCCCCTGCCGGTCTTGGTCTACAGCCATCGAGGACAACTGGGCGTTTTCTGCAGAACTCACCACCGCCCACTTGAAATTCCAAACCACCCACTAGTGGGCGGTAGGGACCAGGTTGACTACCCCTGACCTAGACAGTGATTCTCAACACTATAGTGTTCCTTTAAAGTGGCTGTGAGTATTTTGGAGTGGTTATGGTAACAGAAACGTTCCATTAAGAAAGCATACCAGTGGTTACTGATGAGTGGTGTTTATAGCAATATTCTGGTTAGCATTAACTTTCAGTTCATAGTTACTGTTGTTTTGGCCCATTACTGGTTAATTATATTCCCAATACTCCTGCAAAGTATTTCTGTAGAAGAGAATGGTTTTCTAAAGTGCTGGCCAAAGAAAAGTAAATTAAGGATACCTGATCAATTATGCTGCAGCCTTTCATTGTCCTCGTAGTATGCTTTGTCCTGTTTAGCAGCCTTTTCTGAAAGGTCACTTGGAATGGGGCTGGCATATTATAATAATAGTACACCAGGTTCCTAAAACCACAATTTATAACCTTATCCTCTAAAACCCAATCCGTACTTCATTAATTATAATCCTAACACCTTGCCTCTATCTAAAACAAACCTATACCTTATGAACTCTCAATAGAACGCAAGTGTGTACGTCCGGTTTGTTTAGTGGCATATGCATGTTTTTCTAGACATTTAATCTACTGTCCCTTCATCTTTATGAAATACTCAGAAATCCACTGATTGTATTCGAATTTCATTACACAGCCTGTATAAATCAAAGTAGGGATTCCTTTGACTTCCAGTCAAGTCAGAAGTCAAGTTATGTCAATTCCCGACAGCTATCGCTAGGAATGTCTGTGGGAAAGGAAAATTCTTGCACAACTTGCTGTACAGAGAATCCTGCAGGATCTTATACACCAGGAGTGCCCAAAAAGGAGGTCCCCAGATGTTGTAGAACTAATGAATGACGATGATTTTGGAATGACGATGCATCATGGAATAGTTTTAAAACATCTGGGAATCTAACTTTTGGGTACCCCAGTTATAACCTTAGTGTTATACTCTTGCTCGAAAGCAAGACAGTGAGGCAGGTGTCTGCATGTGAACCTCCTGGGAGTAAAGTATGGACCTGCATGAAAAGATGGCAGTGCCATTGTGAGCTACAATATTCAAGTAAAATATCCCATTACACCCTCAACCGACCACGACCATCAGCTTTGTAAAATGAGCTTTAATTACGTATTTTGGTTTGGACAGCAGCTTATGCCGCTATTGCTGCAGAGCCTTGGTGCTGTCTGTCAGGATATGCAATGTGAAAAACAAAAACAAAAAACACGTAGGTGTCTGTATGGTAAAATGGGACAAATAGCGTATTTATTACTATAAGACTGCTTAAGGTTTTTTCACAATTCACAGAACTTCCCCAAACTATACATAAAAGAACATACAACTGTTAGGAGGTTTCAAAACCTTGAGGGAAACAAGCCATTGTGGTTAAAATGACATCGAAACTGTAAAAAGTTGTACAGTATTTGTTTATTGGGGGAGATTATTGCATACAGTGAATGTACATGGGTGTGACATCCTGTGGCTGATCATTAACCCCTTAAGAGTGTGTGTGTGTGTGTGTGGGGAGAAGTTCAAAATGTGAATGGTTTATTTTTGCAATGCAGACTTAATTTGTGAACCTACTACAGTGGGTCTGTACAGGTGTGTGGTATAATATTATATTTATATTAACACACACACACACACACACACACACACACACACACACACACGTGAAAAAAAAATAAAAAAATTCTAAAAACAGATTCTCTGTAGCTGTCCAATCACAGACTTCCCAGGGCAGCTCCCCAAGACGTTTTTTTTCAAGGCATGTGCTCCAATTGATGCCTCTGCACTAGAAAGTTTAACTAATTTGAGTTAAACAAAACAAGACATAACAGAACTGGTTGTTGTTGGTAGCCAGGGGGTGTAACAAGGCTAATTTATAAAAAAAAAAAAAAATCTGCACTTTTTTGTTAAACAACAAAAACACTTCATACATAAAGCACTTTCACAAATTAAAGTACAATATCATTGTACTTGCTTGGATGAGGGAATTGGTGAGTATGTCAGTAACGGACATTCACTCAAGTTTTCATTTTCTAATTCAGTGATAAAGGCTTCCATAGGGGATTTTGGAAAAAAAAATAAAAAAAAATTGTGAAAACCACTTCTGCAAGTGAAAAGGGAGTGATAGACTTATTACACACGTGTTGGCAATATATTACATTTCTACCTTGTGGGAAATTGGCAACTTTCTATATAGTCCCACAAACATATGCAATGGAATTAATTAAGAGTGCAGCCAAAGTGAAGTGTGTAGTAGCCGGTTTGTGAGGATTCTGAGAGAAATGCCCTCATCCTTTCTATTTAGCATTGTATTATTTAGCTGAGTATTTAAAGCGTATTACCTTTAGTGAAACAATTTTTTCCCCATTATGTATATTGATTTTTTATTTTTTTTATCTGACCGAGCGGATGCTGTGATTGCTTTGTATAAACCTACAGCCACAGGCATCTTGGGTTGAGCACAGTTGGTCCGATAACAGTGAAGTCTGACACAACATGGCTGCAATGCCAGATTAAAAAAAAATAAAAAAAAATTTTTAGTTTAATAAAAAAAAAAAAAAACCTAAAACAAAATAAATCCTTAAAGGACCACTCTAGGCACCCAGACCACTTCAGCTTAATGAAGTGGTCTGGGTGCCAGGTCCAGCTAGGATTAATCACAATTATTCCCCATATGATTGGCTGAGAATGGCAAGGAGGCAGAGCCAGCACAAGTCAACCACAACCCTAGCCAATAATCACCTCCTCATAGAGATGAATTGAGATCAATGCATCTCTATGAGGAACGTTCAGTGTCTGCATTCAGAGGGTGGAGACACTGAATGGCAGCACTGCTCACTGTGCAGCACTGCCACAGGAAGCACCTATTGTAGCCATGTGAGGAGTGGCCAGTGGATGTATACCTAGGCTGTAATGTAAACACTGCCTTTTCTCTGAAAAGACAGTGTTTACAGCAAAAAGCCTGAAGGGAATGATTCTACTCACCTGAACAAATACAAAAACCTGTAGTTGTTCTGGTGACTATAGTGTCCCTTTAAGTTTCATTAAATGCAACAAACAAAAAAAAAAACCAAACAAAAAAAAAAAGTGAAAATTTGATTATGGTTGTCTTTTGAGTTACATTATCCAAAGGAGTGTCTCTCCTAAGTGCTCATTCATAGCCTTGATGCATGGCAATATTGGAGAGATTGTAATATAAAAAGTATATGCACTACAAACAAAATATGCACTACAAACAAAACTTTTACAATTACGTGTACTCACTGTATATTTCTGATAAATAGGGTGTGAAATTACAACAAAAAAAAAAAAAGTACTCCTTCACACTTATTTTCTACCAAATCAATATGGTTTTGTTCATTAAATGCACTTCCTGCATTGTGTGTAGAAAACCAAAATAGGTTTACCTTCTATGTTTTATCTTGGTTCCTTTTTCACCGATATTGTGAAAACATGGCAGGGTTTTATAGGTTTTTTTGTTTTCTTTATTTACATCTCCACTCGCTCTCTCTACAGGAGGCCAACATTTAAATGCACATCTGATTACTACTTAGAAACTCCATGTTTAAACACATTGCTTTCCCCCCCCCCCCTCTACAATAACCCTGATGACTTGATCTTTGGATTTTTTAGGTTTTTCCCTTTACATAACTTATTAAACATCAACAAAAGCTTTTTTTTGCTTTACGTACAAAAATACACACAGAAACAAAATGAAATACACACAAAAATGGACAATACACAGTAGCAGCACGTCTTGAATGGTCATGTGACATGAAGATTCTCAGCTGATGTTCTCAGCCAATGAATGGCGACATTATTGGCATCCAGTTGCAGAAATGAGTCACCGGAGCCACAAGGAGCCTTGGAGCCCGGTGGGGAGTCATTTAAATGGCAAACCCAAGCTGTCATAGTTTGACGCTTAGACTAACCCTTTAGTTTACTTTAGTGAATATTATATTATACGAAAACTTTTATTACGTATTTTCTTTATGCACTCATACTTCCCTGGAACGAATCAACTACTGTTGAAAGAGTCAGAGGTTTTATTATGCAAAAACCATGTTGTACAGTCTACTCACGACAATGTCTGCTACCGCAGAATGATCATAGCCAGATGTCAGGTAAGAAGTCAAACCGTTTAACAAATGTAGTGACTGATGAGTGATGTTAAGTTGCACTATTCTGGTTGGCATTAACTTTCAGATGGGTTTATGTTTCACTGCCGTTTTATTATTGTGTTAATTATATATAATTGACAGAATAAAACGGATTTAAAAATAAGCAGTATATTGAAAAGTTATATTTAGGCTGCATTTAGAATTAAATAGAATATTTAAAAAGGTAATAAATGTTCCTTTAAGTGTACCTTAAAAGAGAACCTATACTATTATGAAAACAAAGCTGTATTCCTAAAAACTATAGAGCCCTCTGCCTACCCCCTCCCTTGCAGCCCCATATCCAGCCAATGAAGGGTTAAAAGCCCTTTCATTATTCACCAGGTCCCAGCGCCAATGCACCTCAGCGCTGGAATTGAATCAATGCTTTCCTATGGGATTTTTACTGACGCTGGATGTCCTCATGCAGAACATACAGAAGTCCAGCGTCAGTTAAGCGACCTAAACTCCGGTAAATTCCCTGTAGCCCCTCTAGTGGTTGTCTGGTAGACAGCTACTAGAGGCTGTCTTAGCACTGCAAACATTGCAGTTTCTCTAAAACTGCAGTATTTTACACTGTACCCAGAACACTTCAATGAGCTGAAGTGGTCTGGGTGCCTATAGGGTTCCTTTAATCATTCGATTAGGCTAGAGGCATTTGATCTGAAAGACAAAACTAAAAACTGACCCAAGGAGAAAGTATATTTCTTTTGGTAAACAATCACTGACCTAAATTTATGATTGATCTTGGAGAACAAAAGCTAAATTGTATACATGTTATACCTTTTCAGGTCTAATTAACAGAATAGCATAGAAGTTCATCTTGTAACCTGATGGCTCAAGGTACAAGCATCTTCTAGCTTCCACCGATAGATTTTGGTCCCAGCAATCATCACTATTGCTTATAGATTGTTGCCTGCCCAGAGTGTGCACATACTTTTTTTACTCTCTATGATGGCGACTGGGCATGTGATGTTGCTAAAGAGCCTATACAGCACCACAGAGATTTCCTGGCTGCATTCAACCTCCTGTGCTCACCTTTCTGGGGTCGACTGAAGCTCCGTCAGGCTGTTGGGGTCAGTGCATCCACTCAATTAGCCAAAGTAGAGACCGCGGGGGAATGTGCATGGTGCGGGAGTCCATGCACATAACTATCCATCCATAACTAGGTTCCAGCCATGGCCTGTTAGTTTCCAGAAGATGGGTTGATAAGGGCTGTCTGTGTCCCCCGATAACACGGCCACCTCAGTAACTGTTATGGAGCGGGTTTCAACACAGAGGGGTGAATAGTTGCCACTTTCCATCTTGACCGCCCATCAGGACAGATCTTTCGATTGTCTAGACTGGGCGGCATGGTTTGCCTGACAGCTTTAACACCTGGGTACTGGTTGGTGACTTTCTCAGCCTATATAGAGAGATCTTACAGTCCCTGGTCTGGGAAGTTCACCTAGTTGACATGAAACCCTAAATAAACCTGTTGACAACCCATATAGCAAGTTCATTCTTCAGTTTATGAACATATGCCCATTGATCAACACAACAACATGCTCAAATAGTTTTGTCTATACCAGCATAATAATTTTCCTTATCTGCTGATTTATTCTCCACTATTTCCTTTATTGTGCCTCCCTGGGGGCCTTCATTCACATTTTTTCTTTATTTAAGAGATGCATGTCATATCAGTATGCCACTAAGTTAATTTTTTTGTTTGACTTCAGCATGATTTGTCTTGCTTTACTTTACAGACTGAGATGCTAGCTTTGCCTACAACTGTAGTTGTGAGTACCTCTCCTTTTATTATATGGCAATAAAGAGTTGGCATTGTTATCTTGATGTATACTACCACCATATTTTAAAATAATAATTAAAAATGAAGCCATATGCACAAAAAATAGGAGGTAAAAACAATAAGACAAAAAGGGATTTCATAAAGTGACCAATGTCACTTTGAGGATGTGGAATGTTTTTAAAGTATAAATAGTTTAGTGGGAAGAGAAATTAAATTCCTCCCCGAGGACATTGTTTCCAAATCTCCACTGCATTCCAAATTTTGAACAATGCTTATAGTGCTAACAAAACAATCCACCTCCTTACATAACGTGGCAAGACAGAAATACTGGAAAATCGGTGCGACAGCAAAAGCTATCAAGAACAGTCTTTGCTGTACCTTATGCCAAGCTAAAGTCACACTGGAGAAAGATCTCTGGGGAAACTGAAACATTGACTTCTATAAGAATAAAGAATACATTTGTGAAAGTTCTAGGACTGTTCTATTCCCTTAAGTTGGTGTTAAAATTGTTCCTTTTTGGAACTGTACTGGGGTATTTATGATAACAGTAAGTGTCACTTGACATATTAGCAATTACACACATTTTCAGGAGAACCTAAAAAAATACAGGCATAGAAACATTTGCACCTATCCCCATTACTGTTCTAAAAGTTAAAAACAAATATTAAAAAAATGAGGAATTTTTTTTTAATATAATTATATACACACACACACACACACACACTACATGCCAGTGACCTGTGTATCAAAACTGCAACTTCAGTGTTTATTTAAATTTATCTGAATTCCTAAAATAAAATTAAAAAGGAAATCATTTTGACCCATCTCCTACTAACCTTTTCTGCAGTGAGTGATCTATATTCACTTGGTGGTGCAGTTGGGTTAATAAATGCTTGCTGGTTCAGTGGGAGTGTTACTCCAACCAAATAAACAAATCAAAGAAGTGGTCATGTTGCTTGGACTAACCCTTTAATAATTCCATACTAGTCCGGTGGTGGAGTGCATTGTTTGCATCTCCCCCTGGTACAGACCATAACAATAGCTCCTTCTGGTCCGGATCTCAGTGAGGACGTTAGACTGCAGGCTATGAATCCCAGCGGAGGAGCGATTATTATGGTTTGTACCAGGTGAAGGTGCAGATCATGCACTCCACTTTCTGATTACTAGTGAATCATTTTATTATTTAAAATATTGCAGATCTGGCATATAGTGATTTTTTGGGGGGGGGGTTGGGCAGTATCCTTTGACGCTGCTCCCGCCTAATGGTGCATCTTCATCTGTGCTTCCTTAACCCCTTAAGGACACAACTTCTGGAATAAAAGGGAATCATGACGGAATATTTCCATCATGTGTCCTTAAGGGGTTAAAGGTAGATCCAGTTGCGACATGGCAAACCTTTGGATCACACGCAAGCAGTGAAATCCTATTATTATGGCCAATTGTATAGAGCCAACAGGTTCCGTAGCGCTTTACAATATGGCACGTTACGTAGGTTCGCCATCACAGCTATATGCAAACATAATTTTTATTAAATATATAGTATATTAAATCTGCTAAAGTTCTCTACAATGTTTCAACAACCGTCATCACCCTTCAAAAAGGTACTTTTTAATCACAATGAGATGTGGAGATTATGCAAACTATTCTTCAAAGGTTCTTAAAAAGGTGTACCATATGTTGTATGTGGTTAGAGAGAGGGTTGAAGTCATGCAGTGCTTCTCTAGAAATAAACATTGAGATTGTTGTGAAGGCAGTACATTAACCATGTATCCTTTATACACCCGGTTCCAAATTATTATATAAATTCTATTTAAGTGTCACAAAGATTAAATATTTTGTTTTTCAGTTTAACTCATGGATGGCATTGTGTCTCAGGGCTCTTTTGATCACTAAAAACAATCTCGGACACCTGTGATAATTAGATTGCCAGGTGAGCGTAATTTAAGGAAAAACTACTAAAGGGCGGGGTGTTCCATATTATTAAGCAGAGCACCATTTTCATGCAATATGGGGCAGAAAAACAATCTCTCTGCTGCCGAAAAGAGTGAAATAGTTCAATGCCTTGGAAGAGGTATGAAAACATTAAATATTTCACGAAAACTTAAGCGTGATCATCGCACTATTAGATTTGTGGCTGATTCAGAGCACTGACGGGTTTGTGCAGATAAAGGCACATTGAGGAAGATTTCTGCCAGATCCAGGCATCGGATCAAGAGAGCAGCTGCTAAAATACAATTACATAGCAGCAAAAAGATATTTGAAGTTGCTGGTGCCTCTGGAGTCCCACGGACATCAAGGTGTAGAGTCCTCTAGAGTCTTGCAACTGTGCATAAACCTTCTATTCGGCCACCACTAACCAATGCTCACAAGCAGAAACGGCTGCATTGGGCAAAAAAAAATACATGAATACTAATTTTCAAACAGTCCTGTTCACTGATGAGTGCTGTGCAACCATGGATGGTCCAGATGGATGGAATAGTGGATGGTTGGTGGACGGCCACCCTGTTCCAACAAGGTTGCAACGTCAGCAAGGTGGTGGTCATGTTTTGGGCCGGAATCATGGGAAGAGAGTTGGTCGGCCCCTTCAGGGTCCCCGAAGGTGTAAAGATGACGTCTGCAAAGCATGTGGAGTTTCTGACTGACCACTTTCTTCCCTGGTACACTAGGAAGAACTATGCTTTCAGTAATAAAATCATCTTCATGCATGACAATGCACCATTTCATGCTGCAAAGAATACCTCTGCATCAATGGCTGCTATGGGGATAAAAGGAGAGAAAGTCATGGTGTGGCCTCCATCCTCCCCTGACCTCAATTCTATTGAGAACCTTTGGAGCATCCTCAAGCAAAAGATCTATGAGGGTGGGAGGCAGTTTACATCCAAACAGCAGCTCTGTGAGGCTATTCTGACATCTTGCTAACAAATTCAAGCAGAAACTGTCCAAAAACCCATAAGTTCAATGGATGCAAGACTTGTGAAGCTGCTATCAAATAAGGGGTCCATGTTAAAATGTAACGTGACCTGTTAAAATGTTTAAAAAGTTGAAATGTTGTTTTAAGTTTGATTGAAATAGCTTTGGATTTCAGTAAATATGCTGCAAACACAACAAATGACAGTTTTCAGTTCTTTACAACCTATAAAGTGTTTTGAAACTTACTGTGTGTAATAATTTGGAACAGTGCATTGTAAGTTTATGTTTAAAGAAAATACGGTTATCATTAGGTGTGTTCAAAAAAATTTGAATTGAACTCTTTATAGTTGATAACATGATAATTATGCTGACTGTTTTTTACATCAATTATTTAGGTAAATGAGAAAAATATAATTTGCATAATAATTTGGAACAGGGTGTAAGTCATCAGAAATAATCACCCCTAAATCCCTTTCCTCAGATGTTGAGGTTAGGACTCTATCAAATATTCAGTACAGTTTTTACTTCCAAGATGCATTATCTTGCACTTCTCCACATTAAATATCAGTTGCCATAACTCTGACCATTTTTCTAGTTTACCTAAATCATTTGCCATATCCCTCCTGGAACATCAACCCGGTTACATATCTTAGTATCATCAGCAAAGAGACATACCTTACCATCAAGATCCTCTGCAATATCACTAATAAAAATATTAAAGAGAATGGGTCCAAGTTCAGATCCCACTGGTGACAAGCCCATGCTTCGAATATACTCCATTGACTACAACCCTCTGTTGCCTGTCACTCAGCCACTGCCTTACCCATTCAACAATATTGGAATCCAAGCTTAAAGATTGCAGTTTATTGATAAGCCTTCTATGTGCTACAGTGTCAAAAGCCTTACTGAAATCTAGGTAAGTAATGTCTACTGCACCACCCTGATCTATTATTTCAGTAACCCAATCAAAAAAAAAAAAATCAATAAGATTAGTTTGGCACGATCTCCCTGAAGTAAGCCCATGTAGTCTCTGATCTTGAAATCCATAGGTTTTCAGATGTTCAACAATCCTATCCTTTAACATGGTTTCCATTACTTTCCCTACTACTAAAGTAAGGCTTACTGGCCTATAGATACCCAACTCCTCCCTTCTACCTTTCTTGTGAATGGGCACAACATTCGCTAGCTTACAATCTTCTGGGACTACTCCTGTTAACAATGATTGGTTAAATAAATCTGTTAATGTTTTTGTTAGTACACCACTAAGCTCTTTTAATAACTTTGGGTGTATTCCATCAGGTCCCATTGACTTATTTGTCTTTACTTTTGACAGCGGAAATAGAACCTCTTCCTCTGTAAACTCACATGTAACTAATGAATAATTTGTTCTTTTTCTTATCTGAGGCCCCTTACCTTAATTTTTATCTGTAAATACTTAAAAATATTAATTGAGGCAGTCAGCTAGACCTTTATCCTCTTCTACACACCTACCTTCCTTTTGTTTTTGTCACGGTTATCACCGCAACATACAGACAGTAAGATGTGGTCACCCTGGAAGAGCCCAACAGGGGACTTGAACCTGAGGTCTTGTGCATTTCAGGTCTGTGTCTCTGCCTCTGAACCTCTTTCGGTTCTTGCTTTCTGCCTGGAAGTTCATTCCTGCCCTGTCTAGTATTCAGCACTGGGGGCTGGACATTATTTGCAATTACTCCTGGTACACCTGTTGTGCATAGTCTCGTTAGCCAGGTATAAAACACTGCCTCTCCCAGAAGGCAGTGTCAGTTCCTTGACTCTGGTTATCGGTTTGCGGTCTCCTGTTCTCCAGTGTATCTCTTGACCCCGGCTTGGTGTTTCGTTGATTCTGACTTCTGGCATCCTCTGACCTTTGGCTTCCCACGACTATTCTCCTGCTTTATCCATTCCTGTACCGCGACTTGGAGTTTACCCTGCACAACCCCCGTGCACAGACTCACAGGCCAGGTGAATTCTCACCTGACCACCTCGGCCCGTGTTTTCTTGCAAGGGTGAGCATACAGCTCTGCCTGCCGGACTCCCAACCCAATTAAGCCCTGACAGTTTTTAATCTAACTAATCCTTGTTTATTGATGTTCTCCGCAGGACAAAAATTGTAATGAAGATATATTAAAATATGAACTTTTAATAGTATTAAGGGAAGAAACACTTAATTGTATAACAGGAGTTACAGCAGATGGTTCAAAAACTCCAAGCCTATATTGCTCATGGCAGGATCACTTCAAGTTTAATTTATGTATTTATAAAGCGTCAGATTCCGCAGCGGAGTGGAGAACGTACAATATACACAAACAAATACAAGAGGTAGAGAGAGCCCTGCCGGTAAACTGATAACTAGCCATTGGTGCTCTTTCATACAAAGGGGTTAGCTAGATGGCCCGTGAGCTTACAAGCTAAAAGAATAACTTAGCGGTATTATGTACATATGAACTCCAACTATCACGCTCTCTCACATGCTAGTGTGTATTCTTCCTTAAACAGACCTGATGAGTGTAGAGTAGAGTCAGATGACCAGCTTAGGGGAGAGACTGCCTCATGTGTTGCAAATCGGTCATGTGATACTATACTTTCCACTGTAATATATACCGTGGCAGCCTACAGGGCCATGACATTACTTGATGGTAGAATTAAATTTAAGATCCCTGCACTGAGCTGTCTTCTTCTGATGCCTCACTGATGACACCAGGATTGGCTCAGCATGCATTTTCAATTAATAAGGGAATAGGACTAAAGTGCATTAAACATTCATGACATTCCCAAGCTTCAGAATATACAATATCTATTGATCTATAAATGTGCAAGAAATTTGACAATTAATATGTCTAGTTTGTTTTTGTGCACTTTAAAGATCATGCAAAGATTCGAGCAGGGAGCTTACAGTGTTCCAACCACAACATTACAGTATAAGTGAAACAGTAATGATTGCAGTCAGGAAATTTAACCAGAAAAGATAGTGCCATCACACAACTCCTGAAAAGATCTTGCAATCACAGCAAAACAGACATCCCCTCCCCCCCACCCCCTTCCAAGTGAGGTTAATGCAAGTAAGAATTTGATAGCTCAGGATTCATTAGTGTTTAGTTATAGGTACATAACTGTATTTTGCTAGCAAAATGTTTGTTATTTGAATTAATAAATAGGTTTATGCTGAAGAATTGCAAATAGTTAAAGATACTATCTAGGCACTAATAACTATCGCACATTTATAACTTTTGTCATGAATAATTAATTTTTTGCCTGCTTATTTTTTTTTTTTTTTCTTCTAAATAAATGTTTTGACACAATCTATACCTTAAAGCGAACACCATAATAATATACCTGAGTATTTAATAACGGTACAATCATTATGGAACAATGTTAACTACATTGAAGTTCCACCAGTCAGAAAATGTAGATACACTTATTGCAATAGGTAGCAATGGCAGTGGGAGACAGTCACCTTGTTACACATCATGCAAGTTGGTCTATGGAGAATCCTGTGGTCTTGCAGTTTTCTCAATAGACCTTTCTGCTGTACGCACACAGTAGAGCAATAGCACGGCTCCTGGCAGTTGAAGAAAGAAGATTGTGGTGCCCATGATCGAGAACTTCAAGTGAGTATAACTCACTTCAGCTGCACATCGAACATTAATATCACCTTTAGGTGTCTTCCCAAAACAATGCCTCCTCTGTTTTGCCCCTTCATGATAGTTACTGTAACTGGCTGTATTGGATTATAGGTGGCTTTCTATCACTCCTTACTAAAGCTCAGCGTCACTCTAGAGAACAGCAAAGATTTCTGGGAGTTGTAGTGAATTTAAAAGCTTTTAAGTTAAAAGTTGCTAACTAAACTACAATTTCCAGAAACCTCTGCTCTGCTCCTAACGCCAAATGCAACAGACAGCACTTTGAACAGTGCAATATTAATTTTTAAAATACTTTTTTTTTTTCTTTTTTTTTTTTTTAAAGAAGAAAGGTCAATTCCAGCAAGAAGCAACATTTCAGCATTTGTAAAAGATTTATCTTTAAAGCTGCACCCCAATCATTGCTCTATATAATGTATTTACAACATTAACAGGGCTTCTTACCGTATCCTGACACGGATTCTCCATTCCCACCATTTACAACGTCTTTGTTCTCCTCTGCCAAAGCTTTAACATATCTTCTACTCAAGTCTAATATCTGATCTCTAAGTTCCCCACTGCTTTGGTGTCTTGGATATTGAAACATGTAGCGTAGCAACATCAGTCCCCAAATGAATCCAAACGCAAGCAGCAATATGCTTAGTTTCTGTGAAACAGATTTTCTTGAAAATGTTAAAAACATGTTATTTCACACTGTGGCTGCCAGCTTTTAAAAAAAAAAAAAAAAAAAAAAAAAAAAAAAATTTTTAAATTGCTCTGTTCAACTTAATCACGCAACTGGTATAGTGGTGAAGGAGATGCTTGAAGTTCTACAGTTCATCTTGAAAAAAGATTTTCCATAAGCAGCACTGGGTAAACGTTTACTACCTGAAGTAAAGAAATAATATATTAGATGTGTCTTCACAAAACTCAAATAACTTGCACACAGACATTTAAAGAAACACTATAGGCTTCCAGACATCGTCATCTCATTGAAGTGGTCTGTCCCCCTTAGTCCTGCAATGTAAAACACTGCAGTTTTAGTACTTTATAGTGCTAATACTGCCTCTAGTGGCTATCTACCATATAGCGCCTAGAGGCGCTTCCTGCAGTTTTACAGAGTTTGATGCCGTGAAACAACGCTGGACATCCTCTTCGCTTTGCATGAGGACGTCCAGGATCAAGCAAAACCCTATCGGAAAGCAATGATTCAATGCTTTCCTATGGGGAAGGCCTAATGCATGCATGAAGCATTGGGGTCCCCCCCACCATCTGCTCACGTCGGTGGAGGAGGGGCATTGGCTCTGAAACCAGAAAAAACGACTGAATGTGTTTTTTTAACCCTTTCATAGATTGAGGGAGGAGGAGGAAGCAGCTTAGCATTAGGAATGCATCTTTCCATTCCTAAATATAAAAAAAATAAAAAAATAAAAATAAATAAAAAAAAAAAGTGTTCCTTTAAAATTAATCCCACAAAAAATAAATACAAAAATAAAAGCCCAAAAGAAAACATGAACCTGGAGGAAGAAGAGAAAGCTCTAGTAGTAAGGCAATTCTGTCTGGTAATTCTAACCGTTGCTGCCATTTTATTTTTACCCCATTTCTTCAATTTCCTCTTTGGGTTCTGCAAGGTTCAGTAGCACTGTTCCCTCATTTGCATCAGATTTCACAATAATTTATAAATCACAGGTTTATCTGACCTATTAACAGTAATGTGCGCTCAGCAGTTGAGAATAGACTGCTAATTGGAGAAATATTTCATTTAACCTCTAGGACAGAAAAAAAAAAAAAAAAAGTGTAAGATGACAAAGTTAACCTCAATAGGATAGAGAGTACAAGATGCATCTATACCTATCCTACAGAGAATTAGAAATATGGACAAGCTGATAAAATATGGCTTGAGGTGAGAGTTTACATGTGGGGAATAAAAAAAAAAAAAAATGAAAATAAAAATTAGCACACTAATTCTTGGAAACGCATGCCTACCTCCTACACCTGTTCCAATGTAAAGAAATAGAACAGAATCATGTTCTAAACTGTATTTTCTCCTACAAAGACTTTTTTTTACATAGTGATACAGCAAATCTATTCAATTTACTAAAACATTTTAATAAAAGAAAGGAACACTTATCTAGCCACATTTAACAAGCTTTAATAATTTCTAAACACTTAATTCAATTTCCTCTTTTCTATAAAATAATTGAAGTTACATTGCACATTTGTCACCTACATGCTTCTGAGTTTTCATTTCTATTCTATTGAACTCTCTCTAAAGTATCAATATCCCTCTGAAGATATGGTCTCCAGTACTGCATACAATACTCCAAGTGATATCTCACCAGTGTTCTGTACAATTACATGAGCACTTCCCTCTTTCTACTGCTAATAACTCTCCCTATACAACCAAGCATTCTGCTAGCATTTCCTGCTGCTCTATTACATTGTCTGCCTACCTTTAAGTCATCAGAAATAATCACCCTAAATCCCTTTCCTCAGACGTTGAGGTTAGGACTCTATATAATATACTGTACTCTGCCCTTGGGTTTTTATGTCCAAGATGCATTATCTTGCACTTCTCCACATTAAATATCAGTTGCCACAACTCTCACCATTTTTCTAGTTTACCTAAATCATTTGCCATTTGGCTTATCCCTCCTGGAACATCCCTGTTACATATCTTAGTATCATCAGCAAAAAGACATACCTTACCATCAAGATCGTCTGCAATATCACTAATAAGAATATTAAAGAGAATGGGTCCAAGTATAGATCCCTGAGGTACCCAACTGGTGACAAGCCCAAGCTTCGAATATACTGCATTGACTACAACCCTCTGTTGCCTGTCACTCAGCCACTGCCTTACCCATTCAACAATATTGGAATCCAAGCTTAAGGATTGCAGTTTATTGATAAGCCTTCTATGTGCAACAGTGTCAAAAGCCTTACTGAAATCTAGGTAAGAAATGTCTACTTTACCACTCTGATCTATAATTTTAGTTACCCAATCAAAAAAAAAAAAATAAAATAAAAAAAATAAAATAAAATCAATAAGATTAGTTTGGCATGATCTCCCTGAAGTAAACCCATGTTGTCTCTGATCTTGAAATACATGTGTTTTTAGATGTTCAACAAGCCTATCCTTTAACATGGTTTCCATTACTTTCCCCACTACTGAAGTAAGGCTTACTGGCCTATAGTTGCTCGACTCCTCCCTATTACCTTTCTTGTGAATGGGCACAACACTACACCACACCACTAAGCTCGTTTAATAACTTTGGGTGTATTCCATCAGGTCCCATTGACTTATTTGTCTTTACTTTTGACAATTGAAATAGAACCTCTTCCTCTGTAAACTCACGTGTGATAAATGACTAATTTATCCTTTTTCTTAACGGAGGTCCCTTTCCTTCATTTTCATCTGTACATACCGAACAAAAATATTCATTGAGGCAGTCAGCTAGACCTTTATCCTCTTCTACATACCTTCCCTCTTTTGTTTTTAATCTAACTAATCCTTGTTTTACTATCCTTTTCTCATTTATGTATCTAAAAAATGTTTTGTCCCCCCTTTTTTACTGACTGTGCTATTTTCTCTTCTGTGTGTGATTTGGAAGCTCTTCTAACTTGCTTAGCCTCTTTCTGCCTAATCTTATAGATCATTCTGTCTTCCTCACTCTGGGTTTTTATATAATTACTAAATGCTAACATTTAGTTTTTTACTATTTTGGCCACATCTGCAGAGTACCACAGTGGTTTTTTGAATCTTTTGCTTTTACTGACAAGCCTAATGCAATTTTCTGTTGCCTTCCGTAGTGCAACTTTTAAATAATCCCATTTCTCTTGGACTCCATTTAAATTGCTCCAGTCTGATAATAGTTTAGAATGTGTGTGCTCCTGGCACAAGCAGCTATTTTTGTTTTCCAATTCACATCAGGAAGATTAAAGTCACCCATGATGATAGCTAAAATGACAATGAAGGGGGAAGTTATTTCCTCAACTAGTAGAATATCTAACTCTATTTGTCCTGGGGGCCTATAAATCACACCTACACGAGTTACTGTGTGATTACCAAATTCTAACATAACCCAAACGGACTCTGTGTTCACCTCACTAACTTTTATTAGGCTAGATTTTATGCTATCCTTTACATACAGGGCCACCCCTCCCCCTTTCTTGCCTTCCCTATGTTTTCTATATAAAGAGTACCCTGGTATTGCTATGTCCCAGTCATTTTTCTCATTATACCATGTCTCAGTAACAGCGACTAAATCTACACTATCAGTTGCCATTATTGCCACAAGTTCATGGATCTTATTTCCTAAACTGCGAGCATTTGTAGACATGACTCTAAGCTTATCATTTTTTAACACACTTGCTACAGGCACCTTCTGTCCTTGTTTTGGGGGGCAATTGGATTGATGTTTTATCACCCTTTTGCCCCCCCGCCCCCTCCTAGTTTAAATACATCCTAGCAAAACCGCTGAACTGATCACTGAGAACATTTGTTCCCTTTTGCGAAAGATGCAAACCATCTTTTTTGTACAGCTTATATCCATTTCAAACAGAGCTACCATGAAAAATAAAGCCAAATCCTTGCTCCGACACCATTCACCAAGCCACAAATTAAAGTCCCTAATACGCATCCGCCTGTCGTTCTGAGTGTTATGCACAGGCAGAACTTCAGAGAATGACAGTATGGAAGCAACCTGCCGTATATCATTGGCAAAAACACTAAAAACTTCCTTAACCTCTCAAACCTCATTGCAAGCCAAGTCTTTTGTCCCAAGATGGACAAGTACATCCAATTCCCCTTCCTGCTTTGCTTGCTTAACAATATTAGAGATTCGTCTCCTGTCTCTGTGAGCAGTAGCTCCGGGAAGACACCTCACAAGACCACCATTGTCTATCTCCACACCTCTTATGATGGAATCCCCCAACAACAACTGCTTTCTATTAGGCCTCACCATAGTCTCCAAGCCCATCTCCCCAACACCACTAGCCTCAGTGCCTGAGCCCGTCTCCCCAACACCACTAGCCTCAGTGCCTGAGCCCGTCTCCCCAACACCACTAGCCTCCTAAAGCAAGCCACCTAAATGGTGGGTTTTCACTATAGGGTCAGGAATACAGGTTTGTGTTTCTGACCCTATAGTGATCCTTTACATTACTACTTGTCCTACCAGTAACGTTTGAGTTTTACATTCTACATGTGCTACTCATCAAAATGTATAAAATTATATGTATCTGGCATAAAGATAACCTATGATGGGGAGCAGACTAAAATTTGAGGATAACCCTTATTCAATAATTAAATTTTGAATTATATTATGAATTACAAAAGTACATTTTTAAAAGCCCGTCTCCACAACACCACTAGCCTCAGTGCCTGTCTCCACAACACCACTAGCCTAAGTGGTTAGCCTTTTTAATGAGATGTTTTTATGTCAATAGTGGTCCTGGACTACTGGTTGCTTCAAACTTTTTGACCAATCTCTTGCACGGTTCACTAAAGACCAGATTTTTTATATTTTTTTTTCACAGTGACAATTCTCATATTTACTAAATCAAAATATGGATGGAATTACTTCCGCCTAAGGGTATCTATAGCAATCAGAAGCATTTGGTGTGCACATTAAAATCCCAACTCTCACATAGGAAGATTCAAAAAGCACCAGTTTAATAAAATTCAGAACCAAATGCATATTTGTCAGGATATTCTCTGCCCTACAGTATGAAGAATGTTTCGGGATCCTTTGTTAAAGGGACACTATAGTCACCAGACCAAGTACAGCTTAATGTAGTTTTTCTGGTGAGTATAATAGCTCCCTTCAGGCATTTTCATGTAAACACTGTCTTTTCAGAGAAAAGGCAGTGTTTACATTGCCTCTAGGGACACCTCCAAGTGGCCACTCCTTAGATGGCCACTGGAGTGGCTTCCTGGCTTAGGGCTGCACAGTAAGCAGCCCTGCAGTTAAGCGTCCCCATGCAATTTTCCTCAGAGATGCAGTTTTGATGATGTCACCAAGGGGGCAGGGCCAGCGTGGCTGACCTGTAGAGAGCTGAAAATCAGGTGAGTTTTAACCCATTCTGAGGGGGCTAATGGGGGAGCTAGTCACCTAAATGGTGGGTTTTCACTATAGGGTCAGGAATACAGGTTTGTGTTTCTGACCCTATAGTGATCCTTTACGTTACTACTTGTCCTACCAGTAACGTTTCTGGCATAGTAATGTACCAGTAATGTATCTGGCATAAAGCTAACCTATGATGGGGGAGCAGACTAAAAGTTGAGGATACCCCTTATTCAATAATAATAATAATAATAATAATAAAAAAAAAATTAGATGTAAATTATGAATTACAAAAGTACATTTTTAAGAGTTTAAATTGTCACAAGTATCCAAATGTTTATAACAGTATACACTTGGGTATCGGAGTGGGTGACCTCCACTTTTAGTAGTTCTTTAAAGTTGATTAATAATTATTTAAGGTTATCCCTCTACACTTGGAAACCTCATATTATTTAGCTTAGACCCAGGTTTTTTTTTTTGTTTTGTTTATTTGGGATAATATTTTGGCAGGAAAAATATAAATATACAGTATGGAATAATATGTATTTAGAATTTTCAAAAGGCATATTTCCTGATTTTATATCAACATGAAGAGACAAAAAGTAGATCATTTTTAGGGAGGTGTAGGAAAAATACTAAAACAACAGTCCATTAGTACATTTTTGGACTGCGTTGGACTAGAAGTGAAAATCCAACACAGTCAATGTGAGTATTTCAGAAAGATGTTATCTTTATTAAATATATATTTTGCAGGGGGCAGGGTGAAAGAGTCTCTTCAATGAATATCACATGAGATGTCATGGATGGAGTATCAACAGAAAAACCATTTCTCTCTTTTTGGAACACCACAACTCCACAGAAAGGAATGGTAACAATTAAAGCAATGGGGCATACATATTGAACATGCTATTTCTGTTATATAAGAAAGGTTTCCAATGCAATTAATGTAACTATTTGATGTGCTATACTATGTTCAGCCTCATTATATAAAAGCAATGCGTATAAAGTTCTATACTTATTGTTTTTAATATAATTTCAAACTAGAATTTGTTGGGAATATCAATTTCATAATTTAGTTAAATTGTATTATAAGATCACTGTTTGATTGAGTAGGATTTTTATAACACAATGCAATACACTCCTATCTACCTGCCCGATCAGTTTTTCTCCAATCTTACACTTGTGTCGTACAGGGTCTCTCCTTCCTCATTACTCTAAGCCCTCAGAAACGGTTAATCCTACAATGACGCACAGAGCAAGTAGGGCACTAGGACTTCCCTCACAAGCCTAAATGGGATGGACACAGTTAACACCCCTAAAACACAAACTAGGTACAAGACACTGATAAGATAAGTGTATGTAAGGCACAATGATGCTTTCAATAGATAGTGCAGTGAGACTCACAATGAATAAATGTGGCTTTCAGCCATAAAGTCCTAAAAGCATGGTACAGAGTAGTACCAAAATCCGATTTGCAACAGTAAGACTAAGAAAAATTACAATCCGGAAAAAAAAAAACCTGTACAGATTAAACACGATCTGCATCAAAATGAGAAAGAAAAAAACCACAACAATATAAAAGTCCAATGTTTGAAAGTAAAGGTTTGATCGCAGTCATAAAATAAATAAATATGAACATTTAAAAGACAAAATTGCTAAATTAATATATATATATATATATATATATATATATATAATATAAATATAAATATAATGGGGGAAACAAAATGAACATCAGGTTTCTAACGAAACACTCCCCGTACTAGATTTTAGTGTAAGTGATCTAATCACAATCGGGTCAGGCAGATCCGCAGTTTGTAGTAAATAGAAGTAAAAGAACAAAAGTCCAGGCATTTAAACGCTGGTATCTTAAGCAGCATTATTTATTTAAGGAGCAGAACAGTTGGAGTTAGTACCAACCAGAGCCAGACTGGTGGATGGAATGCTGTGCTTATCTGCTTTGATTGTTACTCAGTTTGTATGAAATGGCCTTGCTCTTCCTCCAGAAATGCAGTAAGACTTTAGTGGTTATGTGCTGATGTGAGAGGCCTGGCAGCTGGAATAACCAATATACGGTATATATATACACACACACACACACACACACACACACATACATACACACACTGTGGACCTGCAGTAGATCACAAGACACTGAAATTCTGTGCATTGTGCTAGGCACCATCAGTGTTGTCTATCTGGATGAAGCCAAATGCCCGTCAAACTGTTACTGACTGCCCGTCAGTCCATTGGCATATAGGAAGGTATATAAACAAGAGATTGGAAGCGCTTTAAAAGCAGGATTTAAAAGAGATTGAAGACTTTTTAACTCCCAAGAGTTGACAAAGAGACTCCATGCGTTTATTTGCTAAACTGGGAATTCTGGAAAAATTACAAAGGAACTTTTACACTAAAATACACAAACTTGAAAATGTGACTTGTGATTTTTCTCAGTATGTCTATTTCAGCATACAATTTGCCATTCACTTTTTCAATTTTAGTTTTGTGGTAGAAAATGCCATCGTCTTTATCCTATGGCTATCGCCTTGGACAAACATTGGGTGTGCAAACAGTGTGGGAACAGCTGAGAAATGGGTCAATTAGGCATGATTAATATAGCTCAATATTTACAATGTCAGTTTATGCTATCGCAAGCATTGTGTCAGGCTGTGAGCAAAGACGTGATAAGCTACTGCTAAAATATTAATAGAACTACTAAATAATATGTCCTAGTTACAGTTCAGTATATTTTACTTACATTCAGCTCTCACCGGGTTATTTACCAAAGCAAGAATTGTCAGGAAATAAAGAAATTAAGTTATGTATAAATTTCCGGAAATTCTGATAGTTTGCATGAAGTACTCAAATAACTTAAGATGAAATATCCAAGTTCAAAAATATACTAATTCCAGAGAATGGAGTTGTTGTTTTTTTTAACTCTTGCTCTGATATTTTGGCTTGAACACTGCATTGCCTATTAAGAAATAGAACTTGTACTTCACATTGTTAAAAGTGCATTCTCCAATATGTGCATAATTTTGTACCAGTTATATCCTTGTATTTTCACAAGGATTAGGTTTAAGCTAAACACATCACAAGGAGCATGTGGCTCTATGTCTGCTCTGCAAGATACTGTACCCCTGTTGTACTACAGGCGCTATAGGGAGATGTTGCAAAGTGTCAATCACTTTTCTAAAGCTTGCAAGTTAAACTAGCCCCCAAGCTTACTTTACTAGCCATTCTTTGTAAAGCGTGCAGTCTCAGATCCGATGTGTCATTGAAATAAAGTTTTTTTTTCAGGTCGAATGCTTGTCCCTCACACTTCAGGTATCATATAAAATAAAATGAAAATAATCAAATACAATGGGGTCATATAATTACCTTCTAAAATAGCTTTACACAGCACACCACCAAACAAGCTTTGAATTCGTTAACTTGAACCCTTCAGGCATCCCATACAGTTAGCCAAGCAAGTATCTAAACTTTGCACACAGCCAATTATCCAGTGTGCATTGTTTATATGACCTTTGCTGCTTTGATGCTTCTAATTACCTGACTGAGAACTCCTGGTCATTTAATGGACAAAAAGGTCAGGCAGTCCCAGTATCGCACACAGAAAGCCCTTCTGTGCAGATGGAAAGGCTGAATGCTCCGGAAAAGGATTCTTGAATCGTTTCGTATCTGGGTGTAGCCCTCAGACAGAACCTTCCTGCCATAGCTGAGCCAACGTTCCGAGCGCCTGATACATTGTATCTGTCTGTTAACTAGTGAACAATGACAAGTGCACTTCACGTATAGTGATAGGAGAACCTCTTCCTGGGCAGAAAATGAAAGCCCTGCTCTTATTGGTGCAGCAGCAAGAATGTAGACCTTTTTTTTTGTACGGTACGTTGTAATTGGTTGGTTTTTCCCCTCCCCTCTTCGGTGCCTCTATCCTTCCTGTTAGTGAGTGTTTGAGGTATGTGCACTGATGTTCATGAATCCGTTGTGTGTGATGCAGTTTGTCCCTTATCCGCTATGCCTAGAGTTGGTCTAGAATTAGACGTAAACACATATTTACAAAGCAATTCAATACACTTTCTGAAGGCTGATTCCTACTGAGTGTCTATACACCGTGATCGTTCAGGGGTTATATTTTTAAACACATGGTTTTTATTTTTTTGTAATTATTCTTTTAATGAGGGGAACAATGTGTGTAATGGGTTAATGTTAGTTGGTGCAATCTCTCAAACTCCCATCAAGGTCTAACAGCTTGAGGCAACCAAAACAGTTCATTGTTTTTTTTGTTTGTTTGATTTCTTCAGTAATAAGACTTTTAGGGTCATTCACTAAACTGTGATTTGTTGGAAATTTGCCAGGGAATTGGAAATTTAATATTCTCACTCAGCTGTCGTAATCTCAATTTTGCAATTTCCTGGTGAATGCCTAACATTTCGGTATCATTAAAGGAACAGTAAAATTTAAAAATACAAACGTATTAATAATGGAGTGTTTAGATTCTTGCCCTAAAAGTTACATACTTTCTATCCCTATCTGGTCTTTTTGCTGTCCCTGCTATGCTCATCAGTGACTGCAATCTCAGCCAATACAGTGCTTCCCAATGGGGGGCTATGTGTGTGCACTGCAATTACCAATTAGCTCAATGCATCTCTATAGGAAGTATCCAGTATTTTCACGAAGTGTGAAGATGCCCAGTGTCGGTCCAGCAAAGATTGTAGGACTGCAACAGGAAGCGCCTCTAGTTGCCTTCTGAGTGACTGCCACTAGAGTTGTCCTTGGGAAGCAATGTAAAAGCTGAATTTTAACAGAAAAGGCAATGTTTACATCTCTGAGACTGCAGGGATGATCTGTTTGCACCAGAGTCACTACATTAAGTTGTAGTGGCTGTGGTGCTTAGAGTGTCTCTTTAATAAACCAGACTACGTGCATATAGAAAAGAGAACCTCTGGAAATTAAAACTATCAAATAACTTGTTCTTGTTGTGTCCCTTTAAGTACACAGGTAATGCAACTTTATTGAATATTATTACACTTGTTTTAACCCGAAACAAAGATCTCCATTATTCTGTACAGAATAAATTAACTGGATATATGTTTTGTTAAAATTTGGTAATGTTATTTAAATTAATATTTTTTAAGTTACTATATTAATACATGTCAGCTTTTGTGACAATGAAGTTGTTATGCAATTGATAAATTAGTCATTTTTTTTAAAGTTAGGTTAATACATTTTGGCCTTTGTTACAATAAAGTTGTTTTGCAATGGATACGCTGGCACATCTCCAAATATAGTCTAACCCTCCTAGTTCCATTTTGTTCATAAAATATAAAACAAAGATTTCGAGTGACATGTAGTGACTAATAAGGGGTCCCTCGTGGATACATTTGGTTATGGCCCCGCATGTGATCCCACTTGAATATTGTCGTAATATTTACTCACATGAGCCTAAGGTGGGGGGGAGGGGCACTCTTTGTGCAAGCAAATAATAACTATGAAAATAGATTTCAAAAAATGGAAAAGTTTAAAGGAGACGAGGAAGCATGACAGAATAATCTTAAACTAGAAAACAAAGGGGTGACAGCTGGCTACCATCCCCTGATAAAGTGGTTCAATTCTTTATATGTAAGAAAGGAAAAAAAGGTCAAGAGGAATTAGTCAAATGGTGTGAATGCTGTGGTTCTGGCATGGCTTCCATGCACTGCGATTCTAGCAACTGTTGAGATACAGGTGGAGGGGAAAGCACTGATGAGAAAATGATGTTATTTAGGGGAGCCAATCTCAGTGGTGTGTGGAGCCATATATAGCTAGATTAATCGCCTCATGTAGCGGATCACAGAAAAAGCATATCTCATCATAATGGATATCAAGCCTCACCAACTTGCATTATATTTTTTCACTCATTATTCTGACATTTTAGCCCAATCATTCTATATCTTGTTGATATAATACATGACTATCCGAGGTCCCGTCTTATCAAATACACATAATGCCACTAATTATATTTTTAGGGTTTTATTATTGCTTGTGCCAAACTTTGTCGTATTAGTCTATAAAAAGATGCCCCTAACTTGTTAACCCCTTAAGGGCGGAGGCAATTGTCCATGTTCTGAACCAAAACAAAACCTCGAATTTGAGCTATAGATTTGTTCCACGGTAATTAAAGTGCCCCCCATACATATTACATATATTATTTAAAGGACAGAAAGAGCTTTCATGTAACATCCTATATGTATACCTAATACAACATTATGTGTAATAAAACTTTTTAAAATGGGGTGAAATAGTTTTTTTTTTTTTTACATTTTTGCTTTAAATAATAATTACACATCCAGTGCAACTAAAGAGAACTCAAAATAAATTCATATATCAATACTGATTGTTAAATGCCTAAAATATGTTTAGGATTTAAATAAATTATTGATAGTCAACATTAACCCTATGCCATCCCTCACACTAACACTACACCAAACATACCATACCTTACCTGATGCCTACGCTAACTCTAACTGTATGCCTACCCAAATCTTACCCTTAATCTCAACCCTACACTATAGTTAACACTAAACCGCACTGACCCATACCCAGTATTAATCCTTATGTTACCCTAACCCTACATTGTCCGTAACTCTACAGCTAACCCTAAAAGCAAAGTGTAAGCCTACTGTACAAACTCTATTTTACCCTAACCCTTCCAGTGCTACAAACACCTCTTCTAAAATGCCCCAGCAGACAGAGGATTTAACCCTACATAAACCAAATATAAAAGGTTCTATGCAGTCCTATAGGCTTTAAAGCCCATTTTATGTAGGGCGATGAATGCCCTAATATCATTTAGGAGTTAAACATAAGCAATAAAAATGTGAAAAAATTTTTTTTGAGGGGAAGAAACCGTTTGCTTTAGGTAGTATCAGGTGATGATATTATCCTCAGAATTTGTCATTATAAAGTAGAACAGTTAGGCATCTTTTATGTTGTTTTTGTAACTGACTTTTTTTAGCATTGAAAAAAAGCTGTGTAAGAAAATAGGTCACAGATGGGTGATATAAATAGAATACAGGTAGATCCCGACTTTACGAACTAATTGGTTCCGAAGCCTAGTTCATAAAGTGAGAGTTCATAAAGTGAGAACTAATTTCCCATAGACCGCAATGTAATAAACATGGGTTCTGTTCCTGACCAACAAAGTTTTCCATTGAAAACCTTAATTATGAAGTACAAATACAAAACGAAAGCATAGCAAATACATATATGTTGTAAGAACATTAAAAGAAGACATACCATATTGAGTTATCTTCCTCATGTTGCACTTGTTGAATGTAGCACTGCACTTGTTTCTGGTTTAAGATGCTCCATGTGTCTCATTCACCCCCCCAGCCCCTCGAGGTGTCTTATCCCCCTCCCAGCCCCTTCAGGTGTCTCATTAACCCCTCCCAGCCTTTCCAGGTGTCTCATTACCCCCTCCCAGTGTCTCATTACCCCTCCTAGTGTCTTATGACAAAAGTATGACAGCAGAGGAGGGCTGACAAATGTAGCAGGGCGGCAATTGCATCTTACAGCTTACAGAAGAATTCGACCCAATTCAAATCTCTTTGTACAGTTAGGATCCATATTTAAAAAGGCACACGCACTCTTCAATTCATCAATATATCTAATCGGTTAGTTTTGAGTTGGGAATGCGACCTGGGTGTAGTGCTCTCTATGTGGCAATGGACAAAAATATTTATCCTCACACACCAAAGCTCTATATGCTTGAAATTTCAGAACTTGAATTATAAGTTACTTATGATTTGGTAGAGCATTCCTGCTCTGCTAATAATATCTCGTGGAGGATATCAGAAATCTATTGACAATATGGGAAGGAGGGGTGAACAGGATTGCATATTTGGTGGTCATGCACTGTCATCACACTGTGTTGAAGATTAAGCATACCAAAACCTGTGAAATTGATTATATCAATCTCCCCTTCAAAACCCTTAGAAATATACTACAGCAGAAATAGTCTTAAAATATACAAAACAGATTATTTAACAAAATATCTATTGAATGCCACTAAATCTCTAATACCAACCTTGTAGAAACAGTGGAGGGCACCTAATCTCCAACTGTGGATGGTGAAAGTTGGGCATGTTAATAATATAGAGTCCTTCCCTGTCGCCCTGAAGAACACCTCTGAAAAATGGTGCTTTGGAACAATTATCTCTCTCGTTGGTCAGGCATTACTTAAATATGCACATACTCCTCAACCCTGCTTTTTTCTTTACTTCTTCCATATTTCATCTCTTTCACTATCCTCCCTTATGCTTCTCATTTTTTGTGCTGTTGCTTATCTGATTTCGAAGTCACTGCAAAAAAACCAAACCAATAGATCTGAGACCCATGATTAAATGAACACTGCTTTGCTGTGTCCGTTTTATCCACCATATGGATCATTTCTTTAAAATATTTTCCTAAAGCCAGGGTGAAAGAATCCAAATACTGAGCTCAGTGACTTTAAATGTGGCACTGTCATAGGATGCCACAAGTCTATTCATTAATTTCTGCTCTAATAGATCTGTCCTGGTCAACTGTAAGTGCTATTATCGTGGAAGCATCTAGGAGCAACAGCAGACCAGCCACATGGTGTTAAACCACGCATGCTCACAGTGTGGGGGTGCCATGTGGTGAAGAGTTCCAAACTGCTTCTGGAAGCAACATTAACAGAAACATTGGTTGCTTCATAAAAGGTTTTTCATGGCAGAGGAGCCATATAGAAACCTCACATCAACATGCTGAACGTCTAGCGTCAGCTGGAATGGTGTAAAGCACACCACCACTGGAGCAGTGGAAATGTGTTTTCTGGTGTGATCAGTCATGCTTCACTATATGGCAGCTTGATAAAAGAATCTAAGTGTCAACACTATCTACTGGAATACGTAATGCCTGATGTAAACTTTGGTTCCAGTGGAATATCATCTTAATTCGACAGGGTGCAAAGACATTGTAGACAAGTGGTTCCGTCCATGGTTGTAGTAACAGTTTGAGAAAGCCCTTTCCTGTTCCAGCATGACTGTGCCCCTATGCACAAGGTGAGGTCCATGAAAACATGGTTTGATGAGTTTGGTGTGGAGAAATTTGTGTGGCCTGCTCAGAGCCCATACTTCAACCCCTTTGAACACCTTTGAGATAAATTGGAATGCTGTTTGAAAGCTAGACCTTCTCTTCAAACATCAGTGCATTTGTTTGAATGGGCACACATTTACACAGACACAATTCAACATTTTGTGGAAAGCCTTCCCAGAAGAGTAATGACTACTATAGTTTCAAAAGTATTAAAAGGACACTAATGGTACCCATTCCACCACATCTCAATAAAGTGGTCTGATTGCAGTGCTCCTGTGTTTGTAACATTGCAATTCAAAACATTGCCATTTTACAAGAATGTCAGTTTTCAATGCAGGGTTAACATGCCTCTTGTGGCTGTTTTCTTGACTGCTACTAGAGGTGCTTTCATCTGTGTAATCGAGTCAAACTTGGTTATAGACTGAATTATTCTCACTGAGATGATTTGATTAGTGCAGCATCACGTCATACATGTACACTATTGTACCAATACTACCCTTTGCAGAGTATCAGTCTTGATAATCTTAGCCAGGGAGGTGGGGCTGCTGCAACAAGACTGGTATGGTATGTGAATTAAGGTAAGAAAAACTCACCCCTTTACTTTATTTGGGGGAGGCACATCAATCTAAATAGGTAGTCCAGCAGTATGATGTAAGGAATAACTGTTTGTATTCCTAACACTATGGTGTTCCTTTAATGCTTATTGTTTTGGAATGGGATGCTCAAAAAGCTTTTACATGTGATGGCCAGGTCCACGTGCTTTTGGCTATATATAGTGTGTGTGTGTGTGTGTGTGTGTGTCTTTTCCAATAGTATCTCATGTGTTTAACAGTAGGAGTTGAATTATTATCAACAACTCTATGTAGAATCTCATATTACCATTAGAGATGTCGCGAACTGTCCGCCGAACTGTTCGCGAACTGTCTGCCGGCGAACAATAGCGTGTTCGCGTTGGGCGAACATATCCGATTTCCGGTCCGCCCCCTATACGTCATCACTGAGTAAACTTTGACCCGGAACCTCACAGTCAGCAGACACTTCCTGGGAGGGAGGGTCTGCAGCTGATTGGGTGGAATGTGTCTGCTGGCTGTGAGGTTCCGGGTCAAAGTTTACTCAATGATGACGTATAGGGGGCGGACCGAAAATCGGATATGTTCCACCAACGCGAACATGCTATTGTTCGCCGGCGGACAGTTCGCGACATCTCTAATTACCATATCTGAAATATTAGAATCCACGAATAAAATACTTTGTAGAATTGGAAAAAATAAATATTTTACTCCAAAAAGAAAACTGAATAATTCTTCAAATTGTGTGCAGTGGAAAAAATATACTTGCAATATCCCTGCATGGGGCAAATAGGAATCCATTCTTGGCAGTTGTTTGAACACACAGAATGGGCCAAACTGATTATAAATCTTCTAAAGTGTTTTGATTACTTATGTTCTTGGGCTTCATTCTAAGCAACTTTTTAGCTGGTATTTTGTGCCTGCCAAAACACACACGATGTACCCAGTGACAACTGATTTATATCAGGGATTTGGCAATCGCAGAGGTAATACAAATGATGGAAAGGCATGTGGATATAAAACGTCTGGGAAGCCATATTAGGGCATTACCATTGTACAGCACTACGGAATCTGATGGCGCTATATAAATAATAAAATAATAATAATTACCAGTAATGACCAAATTAAACAGCCATATGTACAAATCAATTTCCTATGGCACATAGAGAATTTTAAAAAGAACATCGATTTGCCAAAAGTTCAAAGTAAGACTTAATAAATTTGCAAACAATTTGGCTATTACAATATTAAGGAGAAAGTGTATGCTCTTTAAAGTGACACATAGCCATGTAAAGCACGACAGGTACCATTTAAAAATTAATCAAGATCCTACATGCAGCTAAATTCAATATTTCCAGATTCTGGAAAAACTATCCTTATTACAGTTAACTACAAAAATACAAAACCGTCACCAATATGAGATGGAATTAGGTTTCTCAATTATTAACTTCAAGCTGATTGAAGTAAGGTAAAGCAGAATCAAACTCAAAATAATAGCATGAGTTTTCCACTGACTTTAATGATGTCCTTGTCCCTGGCTTTGATACTTAATAAAGAATAGTTAGTAACGTGCAGACGAGCATACGGCTGCTTTTTAACGCCGAGGATGGAAGCAAGCACAACAAAGACAATAAAGAGGTTTTGCACTTTATAAGTCAGTTGTCGACTGCAGCATCTTAGAAAGTCCTCAGAACAGCAGATAGTTGGAGCTGCATATCAGAAGAGGTATAGAACTCTCACTGCTCCTTCACACATGGATATGGCCATAACAGTGAGCAACGGCTGTGCTAAGTATGCTTAGGCACAAATTTTTTGTCCACCAATTGGATCAATACCTGCACATTTGTTGTGTCAATTTAAGTTAGCTCATTATGTGTTTGCAGACCTGCCAGCATGTCTGTCAATAATGGGACGTGTCATCCTGGCACGCATAGGTGCCATGATGCTAGAATTTAAAAATGGGGAAAGGTTGGGCATTACTACCCTACCGCCAAGCAATATCACAAAGTGTTTACTGAAGTGTTTTCTGTTTAAATGTATGCAAATCCTGTTTGTAATGGGATTGCCATTGCTATGGTAAGTAATAGTAGGTCTTGTGACTTTTTTTCCTCTGGCTATTTAAATCCTAATTGGAGACTGAGATATTATATAGATGATTAAGACCAAAGCCGAAACGTCATGTGATTTTATTCATTAAATGTTGCAATATTATTTCATTGAAGATAGGCTGGTGAGTCTCCCCCAGTTAGTTTTTGCTATAAGAGGCTGGACTAAGGGTAAGCCCAGAGGGGTGAGCTCCCACCCAAGAATAAATTAAGACTATTGAAATATAATTGAATGACCTATGAGCAATATGTTAGATGAAGTGTTTACCTTCACACCTAAATTATCTAAAAATACCTGCTGCTACAAGTACAGCCACAGCTCAAATTATAAACTGCTATCACATGCTTGTATAACAATTATAAGTCATATATGTTGGCCTTATATTTGAAATTTCCTTTAAATGCACTTGGAATCCTGACAATGAACACTTTAGTCAATAACAATTCTTCACTCAGTTTAATTGGTGGGAATTGAAAAATATTTCAATATAATGATAGTAATTATTAAAATTTGTATTTCTCTTGACAGTTATCCACAATTCAGTAAAGTGAGAATGGTTAAAGAATCACTATAGTGTCAGGAAAGCAAACCCGTTTTCCTGACACTATGTCATCCTTGGGGGAACCCTCACCCCCTCCTGTTGGGGGAACCCTCACCCCCTCTTACCTTAATCCAGTGCTGGGCTCCCTCGGCGCTGGTAACCTCTCCTCCCCCGCTGAAGTCAGCTCCCAAGTGGAGCAGAATGCGCATGCGTGGCAAGAGCCGCGAGTGCTTTCTAACAGTCCATAGGAAAGCATTTATCAATGCTTTCCTACGGACGTTCTGCACACTGGATACAAATTCCGCATACAGCG